TTTTTTTAATACTCAGTCAAATGAAGTCAAACTAAGATTCTATAAACCAAGTCAATTCAAGCCAAGTCAAGCGAAGACAAATAAAGCCAAGCCAAATCAAAGCTAATCTAAGCCAAATGGGTAAAAAAAAGTTGGGATGGGTGGGTAGGTAGGGGTAATTAGTTTTAATTTAGTAGGTATATATTGTAAATAATTTTCGAATGGGTAGGAAAGGATAATTATTTTAAGTTCAATGGGTATTTTGCATAAATTACTCTTTTTAAAAATGTCGGACCAACCCGTGACTCACATATGGCTGGGTTGGGCTGACTATTTTAAGGCCCATCAAAATAGTGGGCCGACCCAGTTCAATCCGTCAAATGCCAAAGCTCGTGTGGGCTGGGCTAGGCCGGGTTGGGCCAGCCCGTATTGACAGATCTAATGAAAATCCTGTTGGCATCATCATTTATTATCCTGTTTGCAGCGTAATTTTAGTAATAGTAAAACACAACTACATTACATTACGAGGTGTTACTCAAATAGTTAGGTTGAAAGAATGGCACAATCAATTTCAGAATCAAATTTCTGTTGGGAATTGACACCATTTAATGGAGGCAAGAAATCATCTTAATCAATATTACTCAAAATTTATCGAACCGTACCGATATCCAAGAAAAATTGAGATGATTGGGACGGTTTCAAAAAGTCTATTATTGATTATACAAAATAAAGTACTCGAAAAATTGGCACAATACAAATTTTCTAAAATAATCGGCCGAACTGACTTGAATAGCATTGACACTTCTACGTAATAGCATAGATTACTTGGAATTTGGATTAATTACAAAATATTAGAAATAGATAGACCTAAAATCAAGAAATAAAACATTACAAAAGATTTAAATATCTCCTCATCCAAGCATATCGAGCAAAAAGATAGAAACCAATAATAAAGGTTGAAAATATGATACCAACTAGAAACTAATGCTTACTAGAAGAGTTTTAGAATATTAAAGATGTAACCACAAGAGTCTAAAAGCCTTGCATAACAAATCAACAACAATAACAACAAACCAGTAAAATCCCACAAGTGGAGTCTAGGGAGGGTAGTGTGTACGCAAACCTTTCCCCTACCCTGAGGGAGTAGAGAAGTTGTTTCCGATAGACCCTCGGCTCAAGAAGACGAAAAGAGACAATATATCAGTACCATCAAAGTAAACCATAGAAATAATAACAGCATCATAAGAACCAGAAAATAGATGAAAAGCAATAACAATAACCAGTAAATAAGGTCATGCACTATGGAAAAAGTCGCCTTGCATACCAGATCATTACTTACAAAATTACGTACATCGCTATGATGAACTTAAGTCCTAGTGGATAATTGAAAGCTTAACACAACCATAATATATAGGTAATGAAGCAACAATGGAGAGTTGATCGCTGATTCCACCTAGCAGCAACTACTGACAAAGTGGAGCCTAATCTTTGTAAGTGTTGAAAGAGCCTCTTCCATACTAATTCTTGCATCAGATATCATCACAGTGCAACTCAAAGCTAATTCCATGATAGATAGCAGACACTGCATCTTTGCATCGCTTTGTTCATCCCCTGGATGTACCAAATTAGCATCCACCACCTTATGAATTGCACCTGGAAAAGAATCGCTAACCCAACTTCTTATGCTCAATTCTCCGGTAAATATATCATCACTTGGTCTCATTCTTGTAAACGTCTCCATCATCAGGATGCCAAAACTATAAACATCGCAGCTCGTGGATACTATACCATCTTGTCCATACTCTACAATCATGCATGGTAAAAAATGATCAAGGAATATGCTAAGCACTATTTAGGTTGTTTTAAAGATGTAAGTAAAAAGTTCTGATACCTGGAGCAATATATCCTAGGGTTGCAATTGTACGTGTTTGAACAAAATCCTCCCCTGCATCCAACAATTTTGCAATGCCAAAATCACTGACATGGCCAACCATTTCTTGATCTAGCAAGACATTGCTTGGTTTTAAGTCGCAATGCACCACAGGTGTTGAATAGCCATTGTGGAGATAGTCCATCGCAGATGCAACATCTATCATTATATCTAATCTATGCATCATGTCTAAGAAAAAGTTATGAGAATATAGCCATTTTTCAAGTGTTCCATTCGGCATGTATTCCAATACTAAGGCTTTGAATTCAAGGTTGGAGCAACTGGTGATCACTTTAGTAAGATTTCGATGGCGGAGGTTGCGCAGCATCTCACATTCTGTATCAAAACTTTTGAATGCACCCTCCAATTGCACATCGAATACCTTTACTGCGAAAAACGTACCATTCTTAAATATCCCTTTGTAGACCTTGCTGAAACTCCCATTACCAAGCAAGTTGCTTTCACTGAATCCTTCTGTTGCTTGTTCAAGTTCATAATAAGAAATCCTTTCATGCTCTTTAACGAGCGACACATCAGCTTGATCTGCATTCTTTTTTATCTTTCTCAATATTAACACCGCATATCCAACGACCAATGCAAAGAGTGATCCTATCCCTAACAAAGTATATAAACCTATAAGCACTCTTTTTCTTCTTGACTTCTTTGTATATTTTGGAGGACATGGTTTCACGTTAAATCGGGAGTCACCACAGAGTGCATCATTGGACAGGAAGGATTGGCTTGTGATATTTGCAAAAGGTCCACCGGTGGGAATTTCACCACTAAGTTTATTAAATGAGATGTTC